AAGGGCAAACCTAGTCCAATACATGGGGCAAAATATGAAGCATGAAATGAGCTCTAAACACATTTTTTAAACTCATAAAATAATTTTCAGCATGTATTTTATCAAAGGCAAGAGAAGCAATATATGAGCTCCAAACACATTTTTCAGCTCATAAACATAATTTCCTGCAAGTATTTTATCAAGGGACAGCAAGAGAAGCAATATATGAGCTCCACATACATTTTTTCAGCTCATAAACATAATTTCCTGCATGTATTTCATCAAGGGACAGCAAGAGGAGTAATAAATGAGCTCCAAATACATTTTTCCAGCTCATAAACATAATTTCCAGCATATATCTCATCAAGGGGCAGCAAGAGGAAATGAAACATAAGCCCTAAACATGCTCTTTTCTAACTCTTAAAAGTAATTTCCAATATATATTTTAGCAAAGGGGCAGCAAGAGGAAATAAAAATATAAGCCCAAACATGCTTTCTTTCCATCCCATAAAATAATTTACAACATGCATATCGAAAGTAATAGAGGCAGCCCACAAACATGTTATAAAGGAATAAAAATGCATTCCAAGATCAACTTAACCATGCTTTCGAGTGTTTCAAGTAAGGAAAGTAAAGATGATCCATATATGATGTTTCTTTTCTCACTATCTAAGCAAATACTCATGCTTAAGCCTCAAAATGAATTTCCATATTTCATGCTATCCGAAATGATATAAAATAGAGGAGAGGAGAAGAATATATCTTTAGTGTAGACTTAAAGCAAATTACTAAAATAAGATCGAAGAAAGCACCACAAAAATTTCTCCTGAAGACCTCACGCAAAAGCTTTTCTCGGATTTCTAGTTCCCCAAGCCGCAAATCCTTCGAACGACAAAGAGGAAGGCAAACTTTTTTCGAACAACAGAGAAGGAATAAATCCGTTTGCTAACCGTGAAGAAGGAAGAAAGAAAATGCCAAATTTCTTCTAAAAAAAAATCTTCTCTCAAGAACACCCTCCTTTTTTTTAGCAAAAGAAAACTTCTTACAATCCTTCACACACACAGCCACCGACTATCCCTCAGGAAGCCAAAAAGTAAAGAAAAGAAAAAGGAATGTCGATCATTTGCCGCCCTAGCCTACCAATCGAGCAAGAGAAAGGGATCAACACCATAAATGAGGAGAACGTATAGCCTCGAGAAGGAGAAGGGTCGACCAGGTGGAACTTCGCGGTTGGAGGGTTGTTCGGTCGAGAGGAGCTCGAGGAGACGAGCCGTGAACGCTGGGGAAGAAGACTGCCGCGTGGATTTGTCGTGGAGTTAGGGCACGGGCGAGGAGCGGGATGAGCCGAGGGATCGAGCCTAATGCGAGGCCGAAATGTCTGTTTAAGCGAGCGGGTGAGAACCTAAATAGAGTTAGGTTATAATATAACTATAATTTAAAGATATTTATATAAAAGAAAACTATTAATATTTTGAAAAAATAAAATTTTAATTTGTGTTTTATCCATGCATTGTCGTGGAGTTAGGGCACGGGCGAGGAGCGGGATGAGCCGAGGGATCGAGCCTAATGCGAGGCCGAAATGTCTGTTTAAGCGAGCGGGTGAGAACCTAAATAGAGTTAGGTTATAATATAACTATAATTTAAAGATATTTATATAAAAGAAAACTATTAATATTTTGAAAAAATAAAATTTTAATTTGTGTTTTATCCATGCATCAAAACATAACAAAATTGGTATTATTTTTGCATAATTCTGAAGTCCCGGACGTGCTGGCGTGGTCCGTTTCGCCGTCGAAAGTCATTTTGACAAATTCATCGATTTGCGTGCCAATTTTCTCGTGTCGAAAATATGACAATATGGGTGTCTCTTCCTACCAAAATTGGTGTCTCGGACGCGTTGGCGTAGTCCAATTTATCGTCGGTGGTCATCCGAAGAAGTTCGCATTTTCACCCGTCTTCTGGGCTCAATTGAAGTCCGATTTTGTGCAATTTTGTGAATTTTGTGCATTTGGTGTGTGTATGTGACGAAAAATTCGTGACGATATTTTCCTAATGCTTGTAATCCTATTAGGAACTTTTCATTTGAGTCTTCACAAAATAGCCCATAACCGCTCGTTCATAAGACGATGGTCTTGTGCCAAAAATGCCAGACAAAATGCTAGACATCAAAGGAAAATAAGAAGTGGCTAGAATTTCCAAAAAAGGTGGGTCTCAATTCTTGTTTTCTAAGACGATCAATAACAACTCCTAGAGCTAGATCCTAGGCTCTAAGAAGGAGGAGAAAAGACCTCACAAAAATGAGGCCAACACGTCCTTGTACGCTTAAACTCAAGCCAATTACACTAATGAAGCTGATAAATTATCTTTATAAATCCCCATTCTCTCTTCGGTACAAAATAAATCAAAAGTTACAAAAAAAAAAAAAATTTTTAAGGGGATTCCAATATAACAATGGAGCCTGTCCTTACTCAACAACCTAAAAGGGAGACTTTCTCTGTACTTCCGAACTAATATATAGATATGTAGGTAACTCCACAGAATTTTGTGAGATTTTGAATTTTCTGTAGAAGAAAAACAAATCATATACTGAGGAACGTGAGATTAACCGCTGAAATAAGTCTGCCTTAAAAAAATATATTTCTACTAAGAATGTTAGATTACATAGAGACTGCCAATTATAGGAACCTAATTGTATGGTTCAGATGAAATTGAACACCACGGAAGGGTGCCTCAATGAGTTGGGTTGTCTTCTTTCATCTGAAACTGAAATAGGTGGCGTTGATTCCAAAGATTGGAGAAGCAATTTAGATATAAATATGAACACATAAGAAACAGAAAGATACTGAATTTACATAAACTTTATTGCAAAATTAGAAATATGAAAATGCCAAGAGATTATGAGCTGCTCATTTCACCCAAAATCTCTTCAAAAGCCCGACATGAAAGCTAGCTATACTACAGATGGCATGGTCGTTCCAAAGTCAGGGACATCAAGCTGAAGAGCAGCAGCGTACTGCTATGTGGGGACCCGGTGTTGAGCTAAGATCTTGTTTTGAGAGAGGTTGGGAGATGATAAAAATATATGGAGGTCGTAGCTGCTATAAGTATCCAGTAAATATCAAGTGTATATAAACATGGAATAACTTGAAAAAAAAGTGTACCTTGCTATGTCTAGTGCAAAACTGATGGCGGTAGATGGACTGAGTGAGCCTTTTTCCTTCAGAAATTGATGGAGGTCACCCTTGTACCCAAATACAGAATTTCAGATAAGCAGAGGAACTTTGGCATACACAGAAAAAACTATAGAGATATTGAAGAAATATTTGTTACCCCTCGTAGATACTCTGTGATTAACATCAAGGGTCTTCTGTCCGTTACTGCACCGAGAAACTGAACAATATTTGGGTGGCGCAACTTTACCAACAAATTGACCTCATGCCTGAAATCTTGTCTGAAGCAAGAAAGCATGAGACTAATCAGAAAACCTTTTGAATTACTCTGGTTTCCATAAGAGATCAGATGGAAAAAAAGAACATGAATTTAAACATATCATAATTTAATTTCTTAGTTGTGGCTTTGGTATAATTGATATAGTTCTTTATGGTTCATTAGGACCTGTCAATATCTATTTTATTAATGGTAACTGTAACTTTTTTTATTTTCCTCCTGTAAATTCGTAAATAGAAGGCTACCATGGATATAATTATGATGATTTCACTGAAACTTTTTCTAGTTTTAGCATTGATCCTTAGAGAAGTGTGCTCGATGGCTCTAAGTCTATTTATTGTGCTATGTTAACCTTAGGCCATGTATCACGTGTTCATTTATTTTTCTTTTAACCTTTTTATTGTTTTTCTTATATTTTCTGTATAAATCTGACACCAAGTCATAGAAGAACCCTAGTTTTGTAGTATGCGTTGGTTTGGCTTGGAAAGGATGGTTAACTTGACTAGATGAAGTTATGGTTTTTACACATTTATAATGCGATACATAACTTGATCAATCGAATGCTACCATGCTGGCCAAAGTGGGATGCAATTTCACGAGAAGCAATTCAAAATCTATGATTCACGTGAAAATTCATCTCATTATTGAACATGTAAAAACCATGAATGGAAATGTCAACTGGGGACTTTAAACATACATAGGAGCACAAGAAAGTAAATGTGATGAAAATGAGATGGGCACAACTTCAAAAAGAGTGAGGACATCATGTTTCATGAAAAGAACACTCGCTATGCACTCCCCTAGCTTTCTCTCTCCTATGCACTCCCCTAGCTTTCTCTCTCCTATGCACTCCCCTAGTCCCCTAGCTTTCCTCCCCTAGCTTTCTCTCTCCTATGCACTCCCCTAGCTTTCGCTTGTTCGTGCAAAAGCTTCTTGACCAAAAATGCGTGTAATAATGTTTATGGCCTCCTTGCACTTAGCTGGTTCACATAATTTTGGATACAACAGGTATAATTTTTGGTGCATTTTTTAGTATCATTGCATAAAAAGAGCAAATATTTGCACAAATGCACCTGATAGTATGAAAATTTGAGAACATGGATCCACATGCATCACGTCTAAAATGTCTTCATTGGTGTGGCAAGGTAACCTGGTTTCAGGGTGATTCTAAAAACCGCCAAAAATTACCAAAAATTACTGACGTGAAAGGCATGCTTAAAAAAAATAACAAAAGACAAACCTTAACAAAAGTTTGTAAAAAAAAAAAAAGAAACCTTAAAAAAAAGATATACATCATAAAGCATACATTCACAACAAAATATTACAAATCAGTAAAGTTAAAAATATTGAAAGCCAAATATCCCAGCTGATGGAGAGGAAAAAATATCAAGCTTGTAGGCGTGACATGCTATTCCTGAACGCTGCAACCACATAAAGCAGTGTCTATTTGTAAATCTGTTTATCCAACTCCCCATAGAAAGAAGAGCATGATATGAAGAAAATATGATTCGGTGCATTTATGGCTTTGCAATTGAATTGAAATTTGAAGCAGAAGACTTTGAGGTAGAGATAATGACCAGCTCATGTGGTAATGTGAAGTCATCATGGCGAAAGTTACCATAATGAGGAATTAACATCATTCTAGTTCTTGTCCAAGAAACTGTTCATTATCAAGAAAAGGATTCTAAGATGAAATATAAAACAATGACTGAAGTTGGGGAAGAAAGAAAGCGGATAAAGGAAAAAAAAATGGAAGCAGAGGCATTGAGGAGGCACATTCAGCTGAAACACTAAATTGATTAATGATAAACAAGAATTTTTCACTTTGACGTTGTATTCTAATGTATTCTAATACCCATTGACAGAGGACAACAGAAATTACGCAGAATACTACATAAAGATTAAAATAAGCTTGGCGGGCACATAACCTAAGTAATCCCCGGTAATAACTTATGTTCCTTGACACACAATCTAAGCAAAGGAAGAAGCCATCAAACCCATAGCTAGAAGGAAAAAGATGCAGTAAACTTTAGTCGGCTCTATCAATCCTACATAATTAAATGAGCCTAAGATAATAACCAACTTTATTTAAATGATGAAAGTACCCTAAGATAAATAGTGAAGTAGCAAACTAGTCCCATGAGGAAAAACAATGATGCATGATTCAGAAAAATAAACAAATGATATAAAAAGTAGACACAGCCCATGAACTTGACAATGTAACCGTTACATTTTAAGTAGTTGATGAGCCACAATAATCTTGCCATTTCAGAAAATAGTGAAATCTTCATACAAACAATTAGATAATAGCCTTCACATTACTTACGGATAATTAAAAAAAAAAATCAAAAATAAAACTACCATGAGCTTAGCTTGGAAATTAGCTTGACTTGAAATCAATTCTGATTCGATTTAAACACCATTCTAGACAAAAATCGATTTTGAGTTTGCCCCAACTAATTCAGATATATTTTGAGTCTAAAAATAAGGTTCAAAATAAGTGTTTACATAAAGCATTTAAACATATGATTATATAATATAAAATGCATATATATATAGATGTGTGTGTGTGTGTGTGCAATTTGTTTTTTTCAAAAGGAATGGCAGGAGGCTATTATACGAGCCCCTGCCATCCCTCATGCACCTAAAAATTTGAGTACCACACCCTACACTCGAGGGGAATCGAA